AAATGTAAATTATTATATATATATTTGGGATGGATCTTCCTTGGTCTGGATTGGCCATATACAGTACTGAGTGACTTTGCGCGAGTTATTATTTTTATTTGGGCTGGATTTGCCATATACAGTGCCGAATGATTGAGTGTGCTGAGTATTGAGCATGATGAGTGAAAATACGAGACAATGAGATTTAGCACTCTAAGAGTGTGAGTACATGAGTTCATCATTTTGAGACGCATTGCATTTGATAGGCGTACTTGAGATAAAGGCATAGAGATGCACTTCCTCATGCTGCCCAATTTTGCTGACATTCATGATTTCACCTGTTTAATGACATGTAGTCATAGAGATGTATTTTCCTCATGCTATCTGAAAATGAAACATCTTGTTTATTGTTGAGAAGTTTTGGGGAAAATCACAATTTTCAAACTTATTCATATGCTTTTGGTGTTTTCGGCGAAAGATTTGGGATTTACTGTTATACTTGAAAAACATGCCTATTTTTCCGTAACTGTGAACGAGTTGAGCATCTTACCTCCGAGTTATTCTCATGTATCATTTTATTATTATTGTTATGATTGTTGCTGGTTATTGGAGTTGGACTCTGACCCTTGTCCCAGCTCGTTACTACTTTCAACATAAGGTTAGGTTTGTTACTTATTGAGTATATGGGGTCGGTTGTACTCATACTACACTTCTGCACCTTGCGTACAGATGTTGGATGCTAATGTAGCTGCGTACAACGGGAGCTGGATCTGAAGATGTATGCGTGTTCCGGTCATAACTGCCTCTTGATCTTGGTAGATTTAGAATTTTAATCTGTTCATGTATAGTTCAAACAGATGATGTACTTTATTTCATACCAGCTTTGTAATTTCTAAATCTTAGAAGCTGATGATTTGTACTACCAATCCTTAGAGAGTTGTATAAAAATTCAGTTATCTCATCTTTGATTTACGTCAGTGTTATTATATTATGTTATTTTGTTAATTGGCTTACCTAGCGGGTTGGGTTAGGTGCCATCACGACAGTGTGGATTTTGGATCGTGACAAGTTGGTATCAGAGCTCTGGGTTCATAGGTTCTACAAGTCATGAGCAAGTGCCTAGTAGAGTCTTGTGGATCGGTATGATGGCATCCATACCTATCTTCGAGAGGCTACAGGGCATTTAGGATAAATCTCCCATCTTTCTTTCCTTATCGTGCGACATTGATTTAACTTGAAGCGTAACTCTTTGAATTCCTTCCACACATTCGTATGCGCATGTGAGCGCTCAGTATCATTTGTGCATTACTGGATTGTTATTCCATGAACGAGGTTCGACATGTGTATTCTGTGTTTTGGTGATGGGCCAGTCTGGAGGACTTGAGGCAAGGTTTAGACTGCAGCTTAGGCTTAGTAGCTTCAGTTGTGGGAACTTGTTCATTTGGACTCATATGTCCGGTAGTGTCCCTGTGAGTGAAATTTATGGCTAGCGGTTGAATGGCTATATGATAAGTATGATGTGACTGCGGGATGTGTTAAGATGGTTAGAATGTGACAAGAAGTGTTTCCTTGAGATGTAAAAAGGGCCATTGGGTGCTTGACTTCCATTTTGATGTGACGTACGATCTCGAGTTGTGAGTGTGTTGAAGGATCTGTCATGCGGTTTAATTGTGGAGCGAAGTAGATTTACATGTCATGTTAATGAGTTCAAACTCAGAGAGATTTAGTGATTGCTTAGTAATTGTGGTTGCGAAAGGGTATAACAAGATGCCAATTTGAGGCTAAGCATATGGGTTATCTCCTGCGGAATAATCTACGTAAGTGTGTTCCTTATAATGTTGAGTGGAGAGTTTTGTTTCTACCAGCGGGGTGTATGTGTTGAGATTTGAATGTGAATCTGGTTGAGAAAGTTGACTTGACTGTCAAGAGAATGAATGCGAGCTTAGCGGATGATTAAGGTATTTTATGGTTGGTGTTGCATGAGCTTGAGAAGAATTTTCGTTGAGCTGACCGCGGTATTATGGCAGTAATAGAGGCTAAGCAGGTGGGTTATCTCCTGCGAAATAATCTACGTAGGTGTGTTTCTTATAATGTTAAGTGGAGAGTTTCTTTTCTACCAGCAAGGTGTATGTGTTGAGATTTGAATGTGAATCTGGTTGAGAAAGTTGACTTGACTGTCAAGAGAATGAATGCGAGCTTAGCAGATGATTGAGGTATTTTATGGTTGGTGTTGCATAAGCTTGAGAAGAATTTTTGTTGAACTGACCGCGGTATTATGGCAGTGTATAAAGGTTTTGGAACGAAGTTTATTTGATATGGGGTTCAATACTGGTACCGGGTTGGTTTGAGTTGTTACTGTGATTGGGAATGGTGCTGCGAGCATGCGAGTTGTGTGGTATGTTATGTTAGTTGTGTGGTATGTATACTCAAATATTCATAGCAAGAACTTCCTGATCACTGTAGCTGCTCAAAACAAACCCGATTCCGATAATAAACCTCATATCAAACAAAACATCGTTCATAACCTTCGCGCACTGTTGACGATGAAAGAAATACGCAGAAACTCATAACCGCTCATCAAATCAACAAGTCATGGAGCTTTCTCTCCTTCGACAAGAACTATAACCAATTTCTAAGCCGATCAGCGACATTATCCTTCCAAATTTACTGCAATCAAATCCGATAGCACCCATTCTAGGTCTGACGACCTCATCTTATCAAATATAGCTGCCCTACTGACATGCTACACCAATACAACCTTAAGTCACAAACCGTGCACCAATACTTAACAATTCAAGTGTACTCAAACATGAAAAATGACTCAAATGAGAGAACCATCCCGCAAGCTCAACAAGTACCACCACAACACAATGCTAAGAACATATCATACACCGTAGAACCCTAAATACACGTATCTAACACAAAGATTCATATCCCAACATAACTTCGCTGCAGTGCGCGACCCTATCCAAAACTGGTCCTTATGAAATACCTCAAGCCACAATGCTAAAAAACAACAACCACGCGTAATTCAACATCAAGTACACGAAGTGCATGACCATAGCCATGGAGAAGCAAATAACAAAATATACCACACCCCGAAAAGACAATAATCAAGGCGCAATCAAGCATTCCATACCCTAATCACCATCTCGCTCGAATTCCGCAACAAGGCCCAAACAGAATCGCACCATGTGTACATATAACCAACAAATCATAACTCATCGTAGCATAGAAGAGTAACACATAGAACATATTAGAACAAACAAGCTCAACTCTAATCGAATGGCACACCCCTTAACACTGACAGTTCCGAGTCAACAAATCCGACCCGGTGTGGAATACACAACCTCCTCGGGTCTACCAATGGGCCCCCAAATCAACTACGGTCATCCCCAAATGGATAAATAGCCCTCCAAAATCCATAATGATCTAACCATAACACGTACCACCATCTAGCTAACTTTGGCCACATCTTCACAGTCTGCAACCTCGAGACAATCTACTTCTCAGAACTGCCAGTCTCAAAATACATAGAACACATGAATCACCGTAGCCGATCCCAACTCCACCATTCGAATGACTAACACATGTCTCATACATAATCATCCCTACGAGAAATACTTCTATAATTCTTCCATACCACATAGAAAAATCTGAACATCAACAATCGATCAACCAGACGAGTACCGCAATACCAATGAAGCATCCGTAAGTCAAAACACAATGCGTCTTCTTAAATATGCACCCTTCTCGGGCATTATCAAGTAGTTATAACATTCATCGAAACATAAAAATCGTCCATGTTGTCTAAAAATTCATGACATTCCCTTCAAAATTGAACTGTGACCTTGCTCATGCAAATCTCAATCCCACACAACACACTGCATCTATCATGCCATCATATGAAAAGTACGAGAATCTGATAATCAACTCTGATCCACCAGCAGAATACATACCCGATCAGTCAGAAACCTTCCATTTGATCCCATTTAGGAGAAAATTACAATATGCAACATGCTCCTCACGCCGGTAGGAAATATCCACCTCAAATCATGGTAGAAGTCATCGAGAACACTTTGAAATCCATTTGCACATAACCAAGCCATCAGAACTGAATCTCTCTAACTCGACCAAGCCACACAGGTCGCCAAACCTAGGAGTATTGCCACAAAATACCCGTAAAAGCCTCATCTCATCATAAGAACCAAAAGAACCGAGCATATCATTACCATACTGATCCAACCTACTACCAAATTGTCCTATTTTCTCTGAATTTCTTCTGAATTGCATTCAAGTTGATACTTCTCTTCATCATAATACCACGATCCTCAACCAAAACTCATCACACGAGACCCTAACATAAAATCACACTGTCCTAAGACCCATAAGCCGTTGTATTTCCTCTTAAGCACCCCAAAAGTAACGCAACCAAGACACCCTCTCTGAAAAGACCTTCTGCGAATCTAAAGTCATTTCCCTCACCTTCCTGATACTGAAATGTATGATCTATAATGATAGAGGAATACATTAGAACCTTCTCGAGAGTCATCCACTCTCCTCAAATCTCAATTGCACCTCCCAAACGGGCCGAACGACCTGTGCCCATTAGCACGACAACATCCAAAGAAGGAATCCACACCTCTAAGTAACCGAGTGAACCCTACTCTATGCGCACTACATCCTTAACGAATAACAACTCAATCATTTCATGATTCCCATATACCCGTAAAGTGTAATACATTATGTCCAGAAATTTTCTTGCTTAAGTCATCCTCAAAACCAACATCTGCAAGTCATAACTGATTCACAAATATGTCTTAGACTGAAATCAATACAACACACACTACAAGAAAGTGGACTTTTTGCGACAATATTTAACGGCGAGCTTAATTATTGCCACAAAAGTTAAACTATTGTGGCGACATTTGTTATCGCTACAGTAGGTACACTATTGGTGGAGACTCTATTTAGGTCGCCACTAATATGTGCTAAATTTTTCATTCTCACTAATAAAATTTTTTGACTCCAAAGTTTTAGTGGCAACCCATTTAAGTAGTTGCCTCTGAAGGGCTTCTATGGCGCCTAGGCCGCCTCTAAATCTCGGCTTTGAAAAAAAAAAAAACTAAACAAGCCCTAATTGAAAAGAAGGAATCACATCCATATGTTTCTTTGCTCCGTCTCTCTCTCTCGAAAGTTCTCCATTTTCTCTCATCTCAAATTTGTCAAATTCCGCTCCCAAAATGTGAATCATATATTAGACACCAAAATCCTTAATCACTAATTGTGACTCCATCAGGTATTTTCTCAAATCCCAAAATCTTTTTCGGTGATATATGCAGTTAGCCTTGAAAATCTAATTCTGCCTTTAAGTTAAGTGACACGTTTGAAAATCTACAGGAATAGAAAGAAATTCATTACAAGAAAAGTCATGTAAAGCCCTTATCTGTGAGGAATCGGCGGATTGCCTATTTTGTGATTCTATCTTAATAGTTGTTTCTCAGCTCTCTCTTTCTCCGGATACGGTGAAAGTTTCTTTTAGAGATTCGAGACATTTTTGTGCGATTATTGTGATTGCATGTTTGGTATACTATTATTTTTATTGAAATTAATGTGAGGAAAATGTTGAACTCACAAAAGTATCTGATTCAGTATTGAGAAGTACACAATTGGAAAAGAGATATCGAAGGCTAGGGTTTAGACAATTTATTTTGTATTAATTATTAAAAGTAATTAAACAAGAATATGCTCTTCTGTACAGGAGTGTTACAAAAATATGGTGTAAGAAGAAAGTGCCTATGTCCATTTTGATTACTGAAATTATGATAAAGGTGAAGCAGAAGTACAGTTTCCACGCTTCTAAATGATTTATACTTGCTTAGATATAAAGACTTTGTTACGAGGATATTGCAGATTAAAAGTTACTCAGATGCTAAGGTTAATATGGTATATGTGCTTGGCTTAAAAATTAAATTCATCGGTCATAGATTTGAGAAAGAATGTTAGGGTGCTTTTCTATCCTGCAAGAAAATATTGAATTAAAATAGTCTAGAAAGTTGATACTTAGAGTTGTTGAGGAAATAAGTCTAGCAAGCTGATACATAGGTGTTCCTTCATCTAGGGAGTTTTGGATCTTCTTCCTTAATTTCAAGGTAAAATGATATTTTCACTTTGCCTTGCCCTTGTTACCTTAATACCCTGTTGCAGTATTTAATTATTTAGAAGGGATTGCGGTGGGATGTATTCGAAGCTATTCTTTACAGCTACTACATACTATGGGTTTGGTAATCTTAAAGGAAACAATTCCTCCTCTTTCACAGGTATCTGACAATAATACCTTTTGCTTAATGCTCTTGGCTCCAGTTAAACAAAATAAGGTTATGTAAGACAAAAAAGGTCGCAACAGAGGTTAGCATACTTAATACTTCTTAAAGTTGAAGTTCCACATATATGGATCATCATGGTTTTATTCTTGGTTACTTGTGAAAAAAAAAATTATGTGCTACTTTTAAATTTCTTAGCTTAATAATAAGCTTATTTTATTGGCATTTAATTATTTTTTTAACCTTATTGTTGACAACTTGTTCATGAAGGAGCTTTACTGTGGTCATTATGAGAGGAAATTGACAGAAAGGGCATTTAGTTTTCAGTGATAGATATATGTGGTGATAGCTATTCAATTTGGTATCTATTAGATATGTGGATTTTAGATGGGCATATACATGACTTTAACGACCCTTAGATTTTCAATGGGCATATATCAGACTAGAATGGAGCATTTTTTTTTCCCTTAGCTGAAATTTTTGGTAAAGTAATTATGCATTGTGGCACCCAAGGGTGTGACCTAGTGGTCAATAAAGTGGGTGAGAATCATGAGGTCTCAGGTTCAAATCCCAGCGGAGGCAAATATTAGGTGATTTTTTCCCATTTATTCAAGCCTTGGTGGATAGAGTTACCTGGTAGTTGTTGCTGGTGGGAGGTGGCAGGTATCCCGTGGAATTAGTCGAGGTGCGCGCAAGCTGGCCCGGACACCACGATTATCAAAAAATAAAAATAAAAAAAAATTATACATTGTGCTTGCAAAAATTAAGTGATTGCAGAGATATTTTCGAGGCACGGGATTCTGAGTTCACGGCTTGAGCTTGTGCAGAGTCTCAAGACTTCAAGGGAAAATGATACTAGCCAAGGCGAAGGCGGAACTTGAAGAAATCTTATTTTGCTTTTATTTTTTTGTTTCATGAGTACAATTAGTTATGTTATGAATTATTAATAGAATTTTTCTATATTATTTTGTTTGAGAAATGCGTTTAATGTTGTCTCATCTAATGCTATTGGGTTGCTCGGCTAATACATTTGTGCAATATTGTTGCTGCTATTTTTAAAAAAAATGGAAAATACGATTTGTGGCGACTATGGTCGTCACTAAACATAGGCAATTGTGGCGATGAGAGTTGTCACTGAAGGTGTAAGTTCTAGTGGCGACTAATGTCGCCACTAATTGTACTTGTCAGTAGCGACCTACCAACTTTTTAGCAAAAAATTGCTTTCTTCTTGGGGCGAGTTAGTAGCCACAAATGTGTATTTATTGTGGCTACCTTGTGGAGTCATCATAAATAACATTCAGTTACGGGTTTACTTGCAACAACCTTAACGTCGCCGCTGAAAATTTAGTGGCTACTTTCAGATGTTTAGTGGCAACTTTGGTCGCTGCTACATGGCTACTTTCTTGTAGTGACATAACTCAAGTTGCTACACATATAACCCACTGGTAAAAGAAAACTCTCCACAGAAACAATATAGGGATCACACAACCTCAGGACACCCCGCAGGCGATCACCTCTCTAATTGCAGCCACAACTACTATATAGTCACTTAATCTTCCTGATTCTAAACTCGTCAACAAGGCATGGGAATTTAATTCGTTCCACAATTAAACAACATGAAAGATCTTTCAACACACTCATAATTCGAGACTATACGTTGCATCAAGACAGAATCAAGGACCCAATAGCCCTTTTTACATCTCAAGCAAACTCTTTTCGTCACATTCAAACCATCTGAACACAGCCCGCAGTCACATCATACCTATTATATAGACATCCAACCACTCATCGAGCCACATGCTCCACTCATAGGGACACTACCAGGCATATAAGTCCAAAAGCACACGCTCACAGACTGGCCCATCATCAGCACACAGAAAACACATCTCGCACCTCATCCACGAAATCACAAGCCATCGATGCACAACTGATACCAAGCGCTCACATACACATGCGAGTGAGTGGAAGGAATTCAAGGAGTTACGCTTCAAGCTGAATCGATGCCACACAATAAGGAAAGAAAGATGGGAAGTTTATCCTAAATGCCATGTAGTCTCTCAAGATAGGTATGGACATCATCATACCGATCCGCAAGACTCTACTAAACATTTGCTCATGACTCGTAAAACCTATGAACCTAGCTCTAATACCAATTTGTCACGATCCAAAATTCAACTAGTCGTGATGGCACCTAACCCAACCCGCTAGGTAAGCCAATTAGCAGCAATCTAATTCAAATGAGATTTACTGAGAGAAATAACGAAAATATAACTAAATTTTTATATAAAGAATTCCCAAGGACTAGTAGTACAAGTCATGAGCCACTAAGACTTATTTTATTTTTTTTTACAAAACTGAATTGAAATAATTACCACATATGTTTGAAATGTAAATGAACAAAATCTAAATCTAATGCTACCGAGGATAAATGATAGCCATAACTGGAACGCAGGTACATCTTTAATATCAGCCCTCGCCGTACATAGCAGCAATCAACACAAAGATCTGCATGTAAGGTGCAGAAGTGTAGTATGAGTACAATCGACCCCATGTACTCAATAAGTATCCTAACTAACCTCGGCAAGATAAATTAGGCAAGAACTATAGATGATACTCACTAACGCTAATGCAGTTCAATATTCCAACAAGTATAGAACATGTATATGATCAAATCAGGAACAATCTCAGGTAAAACCCCTCTTTTCTTTTTATGCTCACAATTCTTGGGTTTTAAAGTGTTCTGCTCAGTCAACAATCCAGCATATAAGGAAGATGTGCGAGTAAATCAGGTAATCAGTCAAGGGATTTGCATGTAAAGATGAAATGCAATAACCAAATATCAGCACGTTGCGGCGCGCAACCCGACCCAATAACAGTAACCAGCTCTCCCAGAGCTCACATCAACATCAACTGCATGGACAAGTCACGTGCTGCACGGATAACTCACGTGCTATTGTATTAATATCTGGATCCGCATGGACAACTCACGTGCTGTACAGACAACTCACGTACTGCACAGACAACTCACATGCTATAGTATTAATATGTGGATTCGCACGGACAACTCACGTGCTGCACGGACAACTCACGTGCTGCACGGACAACTCACGTGCTGCATGAAGGTATCAATATCTAAATTCGTACGGACAACTCATGTGCTGCACAGACAACTCATGTGCTATAGTATCACAACCCGCCCGACGTGGTCATAGGCATATCAACACAATCCTCCCGGCGTGGTCACATGCATCCAGTCCAATCATATCACACAGAAGCAAGTACGCAAGAACACATGTATATGATAGATAAAATATCAGATTTCATGCTCCTGGCCTGGTATAATTACATACTGTGTAGGCATGTGCAATGTGCGCTATCATAACTCAAATAGGTAATTTATCATAGAAATAGCAATTACCAAGTTTTATTAAGGGATTTAACCACTTCGTGACCTCAAACATGGCTCAAATAGTTCACAACAATGATACAAATATGAGACACATTGTAGCTTAAAGCTTAACAGTCAACTCTAGGCGTATCATAGCCTAAGCACTACCCCGAGCATGGATAAGTACCCCGGTGCTCACACATGGGTTCAAACCCCATATATATGCGCACCTATAGCACGTAGTTGTCACAAATAATTTAGGCAACTAGTGCCTCAACCAAGTTTAGATAGAATTCTTACCTTAAACAAGCCAAGTCCAATACCGAGAAAGCAACACAATACTCTAGAAATTCCATCCAGTGTGTACCAACCTCTGAACGGCTCAAAACTAGCCAAAAGTAACTCAAATACATCAAATAATGCCTAAGGTAACAATTCCAAATGATAAAGGTCGAATCTTTAATCAAAACCCCAAAATCAACCTAAAAGTCAAACTAGGGTCCACACCTCGAAACCCAACAAAACTCATAAAAATTCGATAATCCATTCAATTACGAGTCCAACCATACTAGTTTCACTCAAATCCGACTCCGAATCAATATTCAAAACTCAAAAATTCACTCTATGAAACTTTAGACAACCCCCCCCCCTCCCCCCAATTTCTCTCATGAAACCCTCAATCAAATTCCAAAAATGAAGATAGATTCATGATATAAAATAAAAAACGAGTAGAGAATATTTACCCCAATTCGCATGGTAAAAATTGCCTAAAGAATCACTTTAATCCCAACTCCATAGCTCCAAATATGATAAAATGGTCGAAGCCCCCGAAATAGAGTACTTTATAATTACTGGAAAATCAATGAATCGCGATCGTGGAAATACCCTCATGATCGCGAAGAGGGAAAAGCACTGGCCCAAAAAATACTTTATGCGATTGCGAACAAAGCTTCGCTAACGCGAAGAACAAACAACACTGCCTCCAGTAATACACTACGTGATCGCAAATATACTCATGCGAACGCGAAGCACACAAGTGACCAAGCTTTGCGAATGCGTCCAATATTACGCGAACACGTTTAAGAAGCTTCAAACCCCAGCTCTCAGCTCAGCCCTTATGTGAACGCGATATCCTGTGATGACCCAAAAGGTCATCTTATGATTTAGTACTTGAATCTACGCTCTTAAGCCTTAAAAATCTCATTTTTACCCTCCTCGATTTGCATGCGCAGTCCGAGCAGATTTTCGGAAATCTTTTATGTTGAAAACTAATAAAAATAAGAATTTTTGCCTTAAAAGTTGATTTTAGTTGACTTCGGTCAATATTTTTGGTAAAAGGGACCGGATCCGTATTTTGAGGGTCCTGTGGGTCCGTATCGAATTATGGGACATGGGCATATGCCCGAAATCGAATTCGGAGGTCCCTAGCTCAAGTTATGAATTTTTGATGAAAATTAAAAGTTTGAAAATTAATTATTTTTAAGAATTGATTGATCTTTGGCATTGTTAGTACTGGGTCCGTATTTTGGTTCCGGAGTCCTGTACAGGTTCATTATGATATCTAAGACATGTCTGTGAAATTTGGTGAAAAACGAAGTTGATTTGACGTGATTCGGACGTCCAGTTGAGAAAATAGTAATTTTAAAGTGTTCTTGAGAGTTTCATTTGATTTGGTGCTAAATTCGTAGTTCTAGGTATTATTTTGGCGATTTGATCGCGCGAGCAAGTACGTTTTGGACTTTGGAAATCAGGTTTTTTGCAGACTCTGTGTTCTGGCATGTCCTTCTTCGCGTTCGAGAAGGTACTCTCGCGAACGCGAAGAGTAAACTGGGCAGCTGAAATTTTCTTCTTCGCGAACGCGAAGCGATGGGGGGAGTTATCCTTCGCGAACGCGACAAGCCCATCACAAACGCGTAATGTTAGGCACTGGAGAGGGGGAGTCAGCCTTTCTTCATCGCGAACGCGAGCAATGTCTCGCGAACACGAAGACCAGGGAAGGGTAGCCTACGCGAACGTGAGCACTGCCTCGCGAACGTGAAGGCTTGGCAGCCTATACTCTTCGCGAACGCGATAGTGCTCTCGCGAACGCGATGAACACT